TAGTGCCTTTTAACACAGTAGCAGTTTGAGATGAGGGGATCTTGTTAGGAAATGAAAATATATAGACGTGACGTAGTAAAATGCTGGAAAACATTGAAGAAGCTTAACAGCATAAACATGGAGGTAAAACTTTCTACCCCCATAAATCGTTCACTCTGTGTGTGAGCCATGAACCAGACCTGAGAGCAGGTACACCAGGGAGGGAACTTTTTTTGGGGGCATTTGTGTTGGCAGCTTCTTTCTTCTACAGGGCAGAGCTGGTTAGCACCTGAGAGTAGCCACTGACATCGCTGTCCACACAAGGCCGACCGCTCAGAGCGGACACAGTCGTCTCCATCGAGCTGCGGCTACGTCTCACTCTGCCTCACACTGTACAACATCATCAAGTTTTATTGCTTTGAGAGAGAGAAGTGCATATATTCAGACCAGAGCTTTTCTCCAACTCCCTGTAGACATCAACGCGTTTCTTTTCAGAGAAGAAGGCGAGTTGCTGCTTTCTTGTTTAAAAAAAAAAAAAATACATATATATTTTAAGAGCCAGAACACAGTCCAGCAATTTTGGGTGGGTGTGTGTGGGATGACAGATGGTCCAGGATTCTCTGGATCAGACCAGGAGCAGCTCAGTGCAGCCACAGACAGAGTGAGTGATGCCCCCCTGGAAAGGCACAAGCTGCAGAAAGTCTCACCTGCTGACAGTGTGAGAATTATTTTTCCCAGAGCAAAACAGAATGAAAGAAATAATAGTACATTTCATTACTGCAGTAGTTCTTAACTTTACAAAAATAATTCATGAGGCTTTGATCACTTTGAAGCCGTTTTCAGACATAAGCTGAGGAGAGTGTCCGGTGCAGATCTTTCACGTATGAACAACGCAGCAGGAGACTCTGCGCTCTGACGCGTTCACGAGACACAAATCAGGATGTTACATTGCAGGATGTAACAAATTAATTCTGCTGCGGATATTATGTGTTTTTATTTATAGCACTTAGACACCGGTCTCCGCCCTAATCACCAAAATCTCTATTGACATCATCTGTGGCTCCACTTTTCATCCTGAGATATTTATTTTGCTTCTGCCGCTTGTTACGGGTGTCATCAACACCCCTCTCGCTCAGGGGTCCTGTGGAGGGTCTCCTGCTGTGCTCTCACATCATACAGAGAATGTCTGCAGAGTTCAGTGCATGTCTGAAGGCAGCTTTAGTGAAGTGAACAAAGCACAACGTAGATGACAGACTGATAAAAGTGTTTTTTATATTTTAATTCGCTAATAAAATTCAATGAGAAAGAAAAACAGCATGGAGGTACCCTGAGATGTCTGGATTACATACTACTGTAAAATGCAATACAAAATAAAAACCAATTTTACAGGCATGATTCTCTGTGGATTTAAAACAGCTCCTCAAATGTTCCCAACATTTTACCAGTTTCCAAACAAAAGGAGTCAAATACTGTGAGGATTAAAAGCAGAATTATAAGGCAAACATTCATCGGGTTGAATAAAATGTTCCATTCGACCGAGTGCGTCTTTTGAGATAACGTTTTCAGGAGCGTCTTCGAGCCTCCGAGGGTTACATGGCCAACATAAAAAGAGAAAAGACCTTCATGGAGCTACTGTCGTTCACCTGCACTTAATCACGATACACCCGCTATCCCCTCTCAAAGCAGCACGTCTCAAATTATTAATCAAATAAAAACGCCTCCTAATGTGAAGCTTCTGCACATTCTTTAAAAAAAAGGGATCTGGCCCTCGTCTTTTTTTAGGTTGTTTCTATTTCCTCTACGAACACCTACACAGTGTCGTGATGCGTGTGAGTGTGGTGGCTCCTTTCAGAGGCTTGAACGTGTGGTGAGTCTGGCGTGAATTCTAATCGCAGCTACGTCGACGACCACGGCTATTTGTGATTCAAATACACGCGTTTGTTTTTCTTGTAGTGGTTCCGGCCTGCCACACACGTTCCACACACACATGCACTCACATGCACCCAGCCAAACACACACACACACGCACTCATGCAGGCTCAGTCAGATTAAAGTCTTCCTGATGGGAAGGAGCGGGGGTGTGACGAACAGAGCAGGATTCCTCCCCCGCCGCCGCCCCGTCTGCGTGTCCACCTGCGGGCCTCACTCACAGTTTAGCCGCCATGAAGTTGATGTGAGGTTTGACGAGGGGGAACAGAGGCAGACTCCTCTTGAACTCCGTCATGTCCTGAACCAACGTGGGCTGTGAACCAACAAACATTAGGTCAGACTGGCATCGCTACTGACACACCTCCACACTCTGCTTCAGCTGTTCCCTCGGAACACTGCAAAAAGAGCTGCACGCACATGGTTTCTATGGTAACTACTATGAGTATTGTCTAACTTAGGAGGACGAGTGAGTTTGCTAGAGCTGCGGACATGTTGTTTATTGTTTTGTGTCTTTTTCACTCAGCATCGACTTCATCAATTCTTCTAAAAGTGGACGTTTTCGGAGTTTGGACAAACAGACGCAGTTTCTCTTCTTTGATTTGAACTAACTTCGCTCAAACAGGAGAACGTGGTGCAGCTGTCCTGCACATTTAAACATATCGTGTGACCTAGTGTTGTTCAGGGTGCGGATGTGGGACTGAGTCCAAATAAACAGTGTGTTCATGGTAATGGAGGATATATCAGGCTTTAGATACACAGGTAATAAGTGTTAATGGAATCAATTATTGTTTTGGTGTTTTCAGGTGATTTAACCGATAGAGACTGTTGCCAAAAACTCAGGGTCTTGTACGATGACTGGCATTATCACAGAAGGAGTTTTTCTCTCTACGCAAACTTCTGTCCACACGGAGCACGACTGATCCTTTAAATGATTCAGTTTCTTTCCTTTTGTACAAAGCAGTTAGTGTTTAATGGACCTGGACGTGTGCAGTTCACTGCTGTCTGGTCACATTAGTCAGAAAGGCTTGACGGAGCACAAACACAGAGCATGACTGTTACCTGTGGCAGAGAAGGAGCTGGAGCAAGGTTGACATCATTCTGAGCCGGGAACTCTCCCACTATGGGACCTGGTTAACACACACACACACACACACAGTGAGGGTGACGTAAAGGTAAACCTGATGCTGAGTGAAGCCAATGTGACCAGCACGTCTACAGACACTCACAGGAGTCCATCTCTCTGGACAGGACGTGCACAGACACCTTGTGTCTCTTCGGGGCTTCGACAGTCAGTCGTTCCTGCAGAGACACAGACAGGCGGGTGAGGTGATGAACAGCAGGAGACGGGAAACATTGGAACGGCTTCGCTTTCATGACGACTGCATTATTACTAATACCACACACTTGAGTTGATATACGCACTAGTGTCGGTGTAACAAAGGTAACCGTTGCTCCCTGACTGTGTGTTCATCGCTCTGTGGTAAAGTGTGGCCAACATGGCCGTGTGTTTTTCTCCCTGAGTCTGGGATGAGTTGTGACAGTCCTGTGGACATTCAGCTCCACAGTCGGACCTCATCACTGTCTCCGGGTGTAGGATTATATTAGAGTGAAGATTTGGCTCATCTGCAGTCACACAGCGTCAGCTCTGCTGACCAAAAAACTGGGGGGGGGGGGTAGTGATCGCAGCTGATATGACATTACAAATGCATTAGGTTTATTCTGCATGGGGCCTGGAATGGTTTCTGCTGGGCTGAGATAATGCCAATTCTTTCAGCGGCCGCACGTCTTTGGCCCTTTATCCTCCTTGAAACAGGCAGGCTGGCTGTCATTATGGGGCTGATACGCTGTGAGCGCCCGTGTCAGTGTCACCTCCACGGCTATGAATAGAAGCAGGGGGAGATGAAAGCTGGGGGGGGGGGGCAGACTGAGTCCAGCAAAACAATGTGTGCCTCGACATGCACACACACACACACACACACACACAGACAGATAGACAGACAGACAGATAGATAGACGCACAGACAGACAGACGCACAGACAGACACACAGACAGACAGACACACAGACACACAGACGACGCACAACTAATGCTGCTCTTATCAGAAATGTAACCATCATGCAGTCAGTGCTGTGTAACAGTGATATGAGAGATATTATTCAGACAGTACAGCTGATCAATACTCTGATCGTCTGGAGCGGGAAGGTAAAGCATGACTGGAGGGAACAAATGGGTCTGATATTAGTATCGTCTGTTTCCTACAATAAGAAGCTACAGAAACACTTTGCAACAACTGCTCCTTCACCGTGTCTCTGTTATAAAGAAACTCACTTGATCAGAGGGTAAAATAAAACGTCTCACCAGTGTGTTGAAGGATTGATAGACCTGTGAAACATTTCATGATCCTGCCATGTCATCAAATGTTAGGTTATTGTTCTAATTTATGTAGCTGCCTCCTAATGACACCTCTGCAGACGGAACAGCGTTAACCACGGCCACAAGGTCCCACGATTTAATTCAAAGGAGCATTATAATTTAAGGCTGCTCAAATAAAAACACTGGTGCTCTGGGGAATGACTACACCCAGGGAGCCATTTTATTTTCATTCTCTTTCAAATAATGTTGGTATTTCCATTTTAAATAATAAGCTGTCAAACTCAGATTTGTGTGTTGTTTCTGTTTTTACTGTCCAATCATTACAATATGTGAGAATCAAGATTAATGATATTTCACAGGAGGTTTAAATAGACTGATTCAAAAATTAGAGGAGCAGTCTGGGTTGATGCCCCATCTCGCCACGTCAAAGCAGCGTTTCCCATTAAATATCTAGATTTTTTTCTGCTCGCCATATTCTAGTTTGTCCCCTCACAGTTTCCAAATGAACCAAACTCTAACTTGATGTGTTGTATAGCTGCATGAAGCCGTACTTGTGTTCACTCCAGCTATCATACATAAAGTTTTTTTTATCCCTACAGTCAACTTGATTTTTACTCTTTAATCTTTGTACCCGTCACCAGGAATCTGTTGCTCATAGGAGCAACATTCATGCTCGTGCACATGAAACAGATCTACACATCGATATAATCCATTCCTGGATGTGTCGAAAAAATACCAAAATCATTTGAGTAAAGCAGAGGACAGGGACGTGTCTCCCACTGTTCACTGTCACATGTATTCAAAGGAAGATCCATCATGTGACAGAGGGTTGAACTACTTACTCTGTAGAACTGTATGATGTTTTCTTTTGTCAGTGTCTTCAGATACGCCACTTCAATGTTATCTGCAACACGACGAGAAAAACACAAGTGTCAACATTGATCAGTTCAGACACATCACTGCTCAACCATAGGAAACAGCCTGGACTCCACATGAGTCTTTTTTTGACACATGTGTTAATTTGACATAATTTGCTGTTTGTTGTGCAGGAATCAAGTGTCATAAGAATAAATCCTCCAATGCCATTCTATAATCCCGCCCCACCCTTCCTTGCATAACAGCACACGGTGACATGGTTTAAGTAAAATAATTATATAATTACAGATGAGATAGGAAATGCGTGAAAAAATAACAATAAAATAGATAAACAGACAAATATTAGTAAAATATTTTTAAAGTTTAACATTTAAGTTCTTAAAGGTGAAAGCAGTTTATTTTAGGTCAGAACTGTTATTGCTGCATAACTAGCTCTGAAGTTGTCAAGTATCCTTTTCATTAAATACTATTTAGGTTATTGTTTGACTCCTGAATAGTTTTTGTAATATTGTCTCCAAGTTCCGAGCTGCACAAGGAAGAAACTTCACAGAGCAGACTCAGTCTCAGTGGCCGAGAAGAGCTCGAGGATAAATAAAAAGCAGAATCTAATAAACGCCTTTCGCCCCTGAGTGATGATGTGTGTTGTATGTTTTTCCGTGCCCTTGGTGTTGAGCGTCAGCCGCCCGCTCGCCCCTCCTCCACCGCTCTTGGTATCAGTAATCACCACCACTCCCTTGGCAGCCTTTCAGTTCTGCCATCACTCAGGGTTTTAGGCAGATTACCAGTGAATCAGGCCCATTACAATCCATTACTGCACTCAGGAGAGCGCTGCAACAGAGAGGTGTGCTACGGCAGCAGATTATTATGGGCTTTAATCGATCCGAATTTGCACAGCTCTAAGCAACATCGGGCTCACCTCTGGGACTGACCAGGATATTGAGAACTACAGAACGTACAGTATGTCTGGCTTTGTATGCAAAACAAGCTGGTAGATCAGGAGAGGGTTTTGGAAAAATGAACCTTATGCAGCTATAGTTTGCAGTGACATGACGAGGACCTCACCTCTGTCAAAATTATACTGCTGAGAGATGATCTCTCCCCAGTACTTGGCGCACTCAGCGGACAGTTTCTTGGGCTTGTCCAGGCGGCGGATGGCGAGGGCCTGGATGTGTTTCTGAAAGGCTTCATCGGTCATCTCCTCCACAGCCTTCTCCATGGTGCAGAGGAAAGCCTCCACACGGCTCTCTAGGTAGTGGGGTGCTTTCTCTGACTGGATGATAAAGCGCAGCCCTTGGACCCCGTTCGCCCGCCGGGGCCCACTGAACACAATGTATCCTGTGGGGGTGGAGAAGAAGAACATATGTAAAAGCTCAGTAGACGATTTGGTTTGTGCAGAAAAAACTGCTCAAAGGTCGTTTTGTTCCAAACTATGGATTTCACCAACCAAACTAACAGCCATGAACCTTATACCTGTTTAGATTAAAGCATTTTACAGGATGGATTTTGAGAAGTGTGGTCCTCACTTCATTCTCACCACCGTCTCTTTATTTATCTTGATAATCACATTAGGTCTGCTACTATTATTATAGAACAGCTGCCAGGGAAATGTGGTTCTGAGCCACAATCCACTCATTCCTTAAATTATTAACCATTATCAGCACTTTAGAAACTTTACTTACACAGCCCCTGCTCTCTGTAGAGCTGTATCTGATTTCTAAATGCAGATTAAAACAAGATCATCCTGTAAGAAAAATGCCCAAATTCACTAAATCCCAGCTGCTTTTCTTGTATCTGCGCAACTTGGAAAATGCTATAAATGAAATGTTGGACATGATGTTTCCGGCTCACCCAGCTGTTCTTTGGTCCTCAGTGTGTTGAAGCAGGGCTCGGAGATGATCTGACAGAACAGCTCCAGCTGCATGTTGTCGTGGGTCGTCTGCATGTCTGTCTGGTAGTAAATCTCAATGCCACAATTGTTGTGCACCTCGTTCCTCTGCTGATAAACGTACCAGCCACCTGGGAGGAACAGAAGAAAGCGTGTCATCTCTTTCAGTATCACGAATCATAAAATGCAAACACATTCGCTTAGAAAGGAAGTACTGACGCAGAGAAAAAAGCAAAGCTCCCGAGCAGGGCACGAAACAATCACAAAGTATGCAAAAAAAAATTGGCTGGATTAACACTGGGAGCTGGACAGATGTGACGAAAATCAAAAGACAAGAATGTCTGCACACCAGTTCAACGCCCCATCTAAGCTGACTCAGTAACACGAGGTGACCTTTTAGTGCAGATTTATGTGCGGTGTCTCTGAGTTCTCTGTCTGAAGAAAGACCAGTGTCCACTTCCCTGGGAGGTAAAATGTATTTATAGGAGCATTAACTGGTGTGCTGATATTCTCGTCTTATGAAAAACACAACTCCCATTTTAATAATTATCCCAAGACTAAAGAAAGTAACACAACTGAAAGAGCATGCGTGCATTTTGAAAGTCTGTGTTTTGTGAAGAAGGTTGTGAAGAAAAGTTGCAAGTCATTTCAATCTAAATGTTTTCATAATTTAAAAAACCCTCCCATCTCTTGTGCTGCTCAGTTTAACATAAACCAGATAATGGAGAAGGTAATGGAGGGAAGTATAAGACACCATCAGTACTTTAATTCCTTTCTGCTTTGTGTGTGTAGATGTAATTTAGATTATAAAGCCTGCAAAAGTGCAAATAATTCTTTCAAACCTGACTGCGCCCTGGTGAGATATATTGACAACTACACTTAGCATGTAATGCACTCAGTGAGCTGAACAAGAAACCAAACACCACAGTGATCCATCATCTGAGATAAGCATGCAAATATATTTCACCAGCTCAGATATACACATCGATATAATCCATTCCCCTTTGCAAAATCGAGTGTGTCGAAAATAACAAAATCATTAAGTCTGAGTAAAATACCTTACACAAGTGATGAGCTGTAGCTACACAGCCAGCTAAGCCTGGGCCCTTTGCTTGAGGCACTGATTGAGTGTAATACAGTAACAGTTCAGGCGGAGGACAGTGGTGACACTCTCCAAAAAGGCGGAGATGTTCTGCTGAATACCAACATTGTGCTTTTTTGCTGAGTGGCATCAAATTGGCCTCCTCCAGCCTTTTATCTGTACTTGAAATATGCTTGCTGAGGAGCCATCCATTCATCCATGGGGAAAACCAGCTCCTTTTACGCTCTGCTTCAGTTTGTTTGAGTCCAGTGTGATCAAGCTCACTTTGAATGAAAGAGCAGTTAAGGCCGGGTAATGCAGGTAGCTTTATGCACATGCTGACTGAGCACTGCGGCTCTGCACTCAGGGAGCGTTGTGTGTGTGCACAGACCTTAAAAAACTCCCCTCGCATTCTTCTGCTAACTTCTTACTTAAGTTCAATTAGAAAACATAATAAGGAATAGATGACAGCTTTGATTAATCAAAGCGCTAAAGTGTCAAGCTGTCAGTGAGGCATAAACCTAAGAACCATTAAACACTGTAACAAGAAGTAAAACTGCAAATTTCCTTAGAAGATGGCAAACTGTGGTTCACAGCAACTTTGACAGTACAATGATCTTTTCCCAAAGTCTGCCGAATATGTCAAGGTTTCATACCGTAGAGTCCTGGCATTTAGTTGGGCACATAGACCTACGTTTATTCAAGAAATACAGTAGTCAGACCAGAAACCTCACGTAGCAGCTCCACTGCAGACACACTCCAGATGTGCAGACCAGCGACGCAGCCGTCAGATGCTGCACACCCAGCCAGTCTGGCCCAGGCGTTATAATGATTCCTGTGTAAACGGCCACAGATTTATTTGAACTTTCTGCTCCAAAGCTTTCAGCTCTGAGTGATGTGTTTTTTCAGACAACCTGTCAGCTAGTCAGTCATTTCTTCAGTCAATTTTGTGTTTACATCCCTTACGTCCCTCTCTTGTACCCCTGCTCTGTGTCTGACTGACAGCCTGGAGCCGAACCTGGAAAATCCCTCGGTGAAACACAGGATGTCTCCGTGTGGCCCTGCACGACTCTGGTTTTCCTCTGCACATCACTCAAGTTTCCTAATGTAATCAGACAGGCTGCACAGGTGCTTGGCTTTTCATGTCTGCGTTCATCTTTGTACTGCGGAGAGGAGGGTGTGTACGTACTTTGCCCAATGACGTTCATTTCCACTCAGTTACATTCCTCTGGGGGAAACGAGGGATATTGAATTTAATCGAGTCTTAACAAACGTAAGGCGGCGTCACTGATGACGAGGGCAGGGGCACTGGGTAAGAACCCTTCTGCATAGTCGCCATGGAGACAGGCATGACTGGCCGCTGATGAATAAGAGCGGTGTGGAGCGTGGATGAGTTCAGGACCTACCGTCTGGAACCTGCACCTCTCTGTAGCGAATCAGTTGGCTCGGGAGGAGGGGCTTCGTGTGAGCATGCTCAATGAGCTTGTCCTCCAACATTTGCATCATGCCGAGAGCAGACTGGGGAGATAGAAAATACACTTTAGCCCACAAAAACTGAAACAGCATTTCAAGATAAATCATTATAAAAAGGTTTTACAGTTTAATTACTATTCAGAGTTTCCCTTAAGACGGCTCCTTTTTTGGATGAGATTTATTTTGACATTATCCTGAATTGCTTCCACCATTCATTAACAGGTTGCATTAATCTCTGAGCTCTACATGACCAGAATTAAGTTTACTTGACAATGAACCTTTACCCACTGTAAAGCAAAGTGATGGTACATGTGGGTATTACACTGCTCTCAACCAACACTTCATGTTCAGTAATGTTAGATTGATATTCAGTGAATATGTTCCCCCTTCATTAACTTTCTAAGCAGATGGTTTGTGTTATTAGCAGGAATTGTGATCTATCGTTTACTGAGGCTACTACAGGTACCACAACACAAATGCAGTGAATATAATTGTATTTGCTGTCCTTAAAGCATAAAACAAATCTTTTTGAACAGGACCACAGCATTTAATCTTTCTAAAAACAAGGTACTGCTTAGTTGAGTTAATTCCAGACCTCAGTGTGGACACTCAAAATTATTAAACTTTTCAGCATAGCATTATACAGAATTACTTCAGCTGAGTCATATTCTGAATGTTTCAGATGTAAAAGGCTCTGAAGTCATTCCACAGCATCTTTAATGAGTTCAGGTCTGAGCTCTGTCTGGACTTTTCTAAAAAAGAATTGTCCTGCTGCCCAACTTCTACTGAGCTCTTTAGAAAACGAAAAATCCACCAGGGTGAGGGTTACAAAATTCAAGTTCCCTCAGGTGCCGCTAAAAAAGTGACTTCAGACAAACCTCCTTGGTGATGTTGCCATGGAGAAGGGTTTCAATATGTAACCGCGACAATAGCTGAGGTATGAAGGCCTTGAGGCGTGGGAGCGTTACATCTGGAAAACAGATCACAGACAACAGCAATTCATCAAAGAGTGATTCACAGACTGCTATCAACACTTAATCAGTAAAAAACACTGAATAAATGCTGTGTGGCAATTTAACTTTCCAGCATCTCTGTTACAGACATAAACAGGCTCAGGTGATAGATTGTCACGCAAACCTGGAGCAACACAAACCCAAAGCATTCAGTTACACATGGACACAAATCCAGTGGGCTGGCCAATCTGAACTCAAGCAAAGTCTGACCCACATTCAAAGATGAGCTACAACAGGGACACACTCAGACACTGGATTTATATAATTTATGGATGGTCCATAGCACCACCGACACACAAAAGCAAGAGAAACTGTTTCAGAGATCCCAGATAGAGGGCGTGTTAGTGTGGGGACACTGATAAGAGAACAAGCCGTGGTAATTGGAGGCCGTGATGACGGGGCTTCAGGCCTTGACCCTGCAGGTTAATTGAGTCTTGTGTGAATCCACGGATAGGGTGTGTAATCTCTGATGTAAAAACATAACAATCCTCCCTTCAGGTTTCACACTGGCGCTGCAAAGACGAAGGACTGCAGCCAGGGGAGGCATCTGCTGGAGAACAGCCTCAGCATTCAAATGAGGATTCAAAGGAGGAGGAGGGGTGAAGGCGTGTACACCAAACCACTCAAACTTTATCCTCGCTCCTTCTTACCACCTTTCCACTAATAAACCCATTCTACCAACCAGCTATATAGGCCAATCTTCATGTGTTTAGTTCAAGCGTTACTAAAGGGTTTAACTATGCACATTTCAGTTTGGCTCACAGCAGAAAAGGGGCCAATGAGCACAAAGTGAAAAATTAGATTGAAGGAATAAGGCCTGGGACTTAAAGACAAAAGTAAAGAGAGAAAGAGAGAGATTAAGAACAGTGTCTCACCATCCAGAGCCTCTCTGAGCTCATCTTTGGTCCAAGCAACCTCAGTCATTAGTAGGCGGAGGTAGTACATGGCGTGTTGGTGAGGCTGCTCGGCTCTGAAGTTATTCAAAGACCTCATGTACTGCAGGGAGGGAGAGAAAGAAAGAGAGAGAGCCAAGACAGTTTAACATCAGGGACTGAAAGAGTCAAAAGTACTTGTAATGCTACTTCACTCCTCTTGTGTTGGAAGGAAAAATAAAGATTCAAAAGTCCATCGTTCAGTGAACTGGTAAAAGTACTGTTTCCATCAACCATGAGTCATCATAAGCTTGTATGACGATGGCGTTGCAGTCAGACCTTACCGCTTCTTTGATGATGTCAAAGCGCCTCTCGTCGATCTCGAAGGTGGCCATTTTCTCAATGATCTTCTTCAGCAGGATGTGCTGTTTGTCATTGTAACCTTTCACAGACAGCTGCAGCAGACATTGACAGAGGACACATGGTACGTTATCAAACAAACACAGAGATAAGATGATGCTAGATGAGGTGATTAGTGTGTGACAGAGCAAACTGGAGCTTTATTTGTTTCCATTTGTAATGTGAGGATAAGTCTTATGATTTCTGGCAGAACAAATGATTGTCAAGAAAATCCCATCACTCCCCAGCTTTTGATGAGTCACCTACAGCTCATATTTAAAGAAGGTGTATATAAAGCCCCCAATAAAGTTTATAAATGAAATAAAAAGTATTTCTATCAACCACTTGGGCACCAGTAAATAAATGCTGACATTCCACTTAAAGTCAGTGAGTAAAAGTCTTATTTAATACGTGTATAAACTATAAAATGTTACAGAATGATTAAATATCAGTATGAGGAGATTGATTTATATTAGCATCACATCATCATCTCTGGCAGAACAGACCTAACCGGTAGATGATGTATTCCTATGCAAATGCACATCTTAAAATTGGAGAACAGTCAAGGTTATTTAAAGCCTCCAATTTGCAATGTAATCCAAACCTTATGGCCCTTCCATGATTCAGCAAAAACCTGCAGCTACATGGCTATGCTCGCTCTCGGACTCATCCCATTCCTCGCTTCTGCGTCGCTAAGTCCCTGAGGTGACACCTGTTAAAAGTAATCTCTCCTAACATCATTAACCTTGAAGAGAGGTCAGCCAGCTACACCGATACTGCTGACTCAAATCAGCCACACACAGTCCATCGCACAGCAACAGTGTGTTGAAGAACAGTGTGGAAGGGCACAACACAATCAGGAATTTACAGGGAGAAAAAAAAATTGCAGGTTACTGGGTCATATAACAAAAGGGTGCAGCGCGTTAGTTAGAAGTTAGAAAAAGCAGAAGCACCACCACCGCAAATCAGTCATTCATGAGTAGGTTGCTACTTTGCTATGCAACATTAAATCCCTGACACACAGGCACGTAGCTGTACTCGTAAACTCAAGGAAACATCGCTGCTCACTATGTCCACGAACCTCCAGGATACAGATTGACTTCCATCGTCTTTTCTGCACTTGCATCAGCAGAAACGCTACTTAAAATATCTGCATCATTTGACTTTATTCTTTGTGTCCTGAACACATTACTGAGAACGAATTTTGGGAGTGAATTTGTAATATCAGGTGAACCCACTAGAGTTCTGTGTACAGACTGTATTAAATGTTTAATCTTTATTATTTTTATGGCCACGGGTCCCTGAAAGAAAAAGCCAGTATTTTAAATAATCTCAAAATTAAATAAATGTCATAAAGGCTCATGTTAGAAATGAAAATCTTGTGACAAATAATTAATTTGAGTCATCAAGGTAATTAAAAATGGATTAAATCCCTTAAGGTGAAGATGTAAGAGTCTATGACATTTCCTGAGGGCTGTATAATGCTATCCTACAGTAACATATTTAGTTGGAGAGAACACAGCAGCAAGCACAGCTTCCAGTAAACCTCTCAGGTTAGACAAACGACACACAGCACTTCACATATTCAAATTGAGCGCAGACCACCAAGCCAGTCCCACTCTGTAGCAGCCTCAGAACGAACCATTCACTGGTGCCCCACTTCCCTCCAAAATTCAAACGGCTTACTTACGAGGATGGCATTCATCCTTGAGGCTACGCCATACACCAGCCCGGCCAGACGGGCTGCATATGTATACTCTTTTAAATCATCCTTCAGTAACCTGAGTAACAAGTAGGTCATGTTGCAGTGCAGGGGATCTGTGTATAGGTAGCGACTAATGGGAGGGAAAAAAGAACAAAAAAAATGTTGGGAATGAGGGGTTGCCAACCAGAGGAAAAAAAACAACAGGTATAAGAAGAATGATAATAAGAGTATGTATATGCAGCCTTGTGACCAGCTGTCTGTCCAGCAAGACTGGCACAAACTCCTCTAGAGATGACTCGCACACCCAATTACAAATTAAAATCGACCTATTTAAATACTGCCTGGTGTTAACTACAAGTATGCAATTACCTCTAATAACCCGAAAATGTGAGAATAAACCCCTCTGCAGTAGTCAAGGGTTTCATGGAAGATGGGTGAGAAGGGAATCAGGATTGATGAGGAATGAAAAACAAGATGCAGACTGAACAGAGCCTAGGCCAGAAGGTTTTGTAAATCATTTGCATTTTTCTTAAGCTACATATGTGGGAGTTACCACATGTCTCAAATTGACAATGACTTTGATAATACAAAAAAGTGGTTTTCTGAAACTGTATTTCCATTCATCTGATTGTGAAAAAGAAATCTTCCAATCTGGTCATGTAAATGTCTTCAGATTACCTACGGCCTAGCAGCCCAGTCTGAAGATGAGGAGAGAGTATGGGACGTAAGGACTGGGATGCGGCGTGTGGGCACTGGGAAGGCATTTCTGAATACTTACATACATCCCATAGACGGTATTTTGGAGGTCATAGTTCAAACCAGCTAGCTCGGCTGCATATGCATACTCGTTGAGGGAGTCCTTGAGGAGCTCCAGGTATAAATATGCCATGTTACAATGCAATGGGTCCACATATGCAAACGGGCTGTAGAGGAAACGGCAGCGGTTAAAGAAAGCACAGAAACAGAGCATAGAGATACTAGTCTCTACATTCTCTCATGGTAGGAGCTTAAGATAACACAAGTACAGTACATGAGTTTACAATTAAACAAACAACTAGCTGCAGTTATTAAGGGTGTAATGCTACAGTTTGTGACCATCTGTACAGTTTTCATTATACCTGCATAACTAAGTGTAACTGAGTAGCTTTGAGATTGTCTGAATACTAGCTTTACTCCTACTTTCCTGTTCCTGTCTTGATCTAAGAGGTGGGAGGCTGGATCTTAGCTAATCTGGATTTATTTAATATGCTACTGAAGTCAAGCTGCTGATAATATAAAACCAACACTTCCTTCATCAAATCTACTTTGGTGAGAAGCCACAGGACTTTTGAACCCAAGCACCTACACATGTTCGTGTTGATAGTTTTGTGGACATAGTTTTTTAAGGGGGCTCATAACTTGTTGGGAGATTTTAAGTACTACCAAACTAAACATGATTTCCATTGACATTGAACTTGGTGCCAGGCGAAGGTTCATAGTTATTTACTCACCTGAAGAACTCAAAGTTCAGACAAGCCTTGGGCAGGAAGAATTTGTCATCCTGTTTGAACCACACCTTGCTCATGGCAGTGTCCTGACAGAAACATCATACACAGAAAGTTATCATTTTTAGATTCATGAAACATTCACTCTGTAACAAGACAATTGTTTGCAAGGGTCCATGGAAATGCCGGCAAAAACACAATCAGACTGGATATCATGTTACTTTGATATTAACAGATCACAAATATGGCATGTGAGTAATAATAGTAAAGGACAGTGGCTTGTATCTAGTCTTTCTTCAGTTTTACTTGATCACAAGAGAAAAATATTATTACCATATGAAAGTGTAAGAGATTTGTAACTATATCAGTGAAGCAGAGACTTTGTCTTAAGGTAATGAAAAGTGACAATACTTTGATGAGAGCATCTTAAAAAATCTTGCCTTGATTAAAGTGGGGACTGATGGAGAGTCTTTCTCCAGAGGGTAGATCTCGAAGTTGGTTGGGATGAACTCGTTTTTCATGGGTAATTTGAACTTGCCGTTGAGGTCTGCATTTTCCCATTTCTGAAAGGCAGGAATACATTGAGCAAGCAGCTTCTCACAGGACTTACACAGCAGCCATACACCCACACCAATTCAGAAGAAAGGACTCCCTGTATCATCTCCACAATAACTTCATTGATCACCTTGATGGTCTCTTCAGTGATGGCCTCCTGTTTGTACTGTGTGCCATACCATTCTTCTGTCTTGTCTGTTTGACCTTCAAAAGACTTTGACACCACCGCAACCCTGGAAAAAAAAAAAAAAAAGGAAACCATGTCACATTTCATGATGAAAATACTTCTCTTACAGAGATTACTAGATACTGTTGGTATGCAAGAACTCCACTATATGAGATGAAAGTGGTTTTCTATTTGCGTCCTGTTTGAATCATGTTCAAGGTAGTGGAGATCCACTAACACACATTTGCCTTTAACTGACGAGACATCTATATTCCTAAATGTATGACTGGAGCCCTCAGTCTGCTGCTTTTGGAGTTTGTGCTTCACTGGTGCCTAAAATATGTATTCAATAAAAACATAGCAAGAGTAGATCACTACTTATTAAACAAACTATGATGACTCAATGCAAGCGTGATGATGCAATCAAACTTTACTTCACTTCCAGCTGCCTGAGAGAAACTGGCACTGAAGGGAATCTAATGAATTCAAAGCAGCGCTGGTGAAACCCCAAGGTTAAACAGCCACTTCAGCAAAGGAAGAGACTGGCATGCAAACTATCAGTGTCAGCCAGTGAGTGCATGCAATCTCCTCCATGGTAAGCATTAAAGAAACGACTCATCACACATCTGCACTTTGCTTGACATCCCATAGAATGATTTACAGTTAAAGGCTATATCTATAAATACATATTAAAGCTTGATATTGCAGCCAACAGCTACAGTACTCTCCCTCTGTGTGGGTTGTGATCTGTGCAATGTACATTATGTACACAAATACGGATGATGTGTCTTCAATTGTTCCCACTACAAAAAAATGAAGGCAAAATACATCTAACACAGGTGCAGCCATCTTGTGTTGGGGAGCTAGAGTCTGCGCAGTAATGATCAGGGAGTGGATCTGCAGAGTTGAGGTTTTAATAAGTGATTTCTTTGCTGGAAAAATGATCTTTTAGTCGGCATTTTTAAACAAAGACATTCATTTCAAAATCATGGAAGGAAAAAACATTGAGAAGCAGGAACCAGAGCATTTGACATTTTTACTAAAAATTTTAAATATGAAAGTTGTTGCCAATAGTGTGTTGATGCTGGTCTATGCTCAGGTAAACTTCATTGAAAATATATTATAAAGGTAAAATATTTAAGACGGGCCAAGATTTTTAAGTCAAGTCCTATGCATTTACAATTCAGAGATCAAATCTCGATTAACTATTCCTGAGCACACATATACATCTTCAGTTATTATACTATTCTGTTGAGCATGTGTCAAAAAAAATACATTACTTCAAATTTATTCTGCAGGTTTTGGTCTGCTGTGATATTAGCCATGTCCACATTTCTGTCCATATTATAACTATTTTATACTTGTATACTGACAGAGAGTCCCTCAGTGTACATGACCAGAGACTGATGTTCTCACTCTTACCTGACATGTTCTGGTCTCAGTTTATCCAGCACCATCTCGATCAGGTCTGGTCTGAAATCCTCCAAAAGGTACTCTGCTGCTAGAACCTCTTCAAGGGGGTAGTACTGAAACACAGAGCAGACAGTTGACAGCACTGTACAGCTAGAGGTGAACAGTAAAACATTTATCTCTATATCTAAACTCTCCTATGGGCTAAATTATTGTAATTGTTCAACTGCCACTGGAGAGGAGAGTCAAAAGTTTTAGTTTTTATTTAATTAAAATTTTGAGTTTGAGATGCATGTAGCAAAGAGATAACAGAAAAGACGCCTGCAAAGTGTAAAGACTGTGTTTATGTGTGAGTAAGATATATAGTATATATACAATTCCTGCTACTTGTGCAACTGAGGGTAAAAATAAAGCCAAACCTAGTAAAAAGAATCCTGTAATCAGTGCATCAGTGACCATTAAGTATATGAGTATGGTGAGGAGATCAGCGAGAAACTGTGAAATAAAAAGATTTAATAAGAGCTTGGACTAATTCTGACTGTGACTCTGCAAAATCCTCATTCTCTCAGTGCAGTCAACAGGAGGAGCACCCAGCCTAATGACGACAGCGGGTACAGACGCAATGAGCTGCATTGTGTCGCCATGGAAACAGCCTTTACAGATGGAGAGGGGACCTACATGTAGTAAACCAGCCACTTTGGAGGTGTAACCACGGGGTCGCTCCTTGTCCTTGAACCTGAAGGCCACTTTATTTAAATCCTACAGAGAAAGAGAAGGAAATGGAGGCTGAAACAGGTGAAGTCACGACACAGACACACGACATAAATGTCTAATCAGATTCTAGATGGAAACAACTGCACAGAAAGAGCCATTTTACACTGCAGTATAAAAAATGTATACTATGCAGCTTCATTTGATATGGCATAGAGCGACACGGCAGAGAAGATGCTGAATGTAGCTGACAGGTTTGAATCCATCAGTCTCAGCTGTCAGTGTCTCCACCAACCAGAACTAAGTGGGTGACGTTTGTCGTGCCCCCCCCACCTGAACTGTCGCTGGATAGAGAACATTCATTACCTTGCACTCCTCAAACACCCACTCCTGAGGCCCCTCCGTCCGCAGCTTCTGGATGTATTGGAACATGTGGAAGATGATGTCCTCAACGTGCACTGCATCAACACAGATGAATGTTCTTTAACAACACATAGCCACACTCACAAATAATCACAACCTTGTGCAAGAAAAACATTTACAAACAGGTAGAATCAGGTGTGTTACTTACGGAGGCCCTCTTCAGTCAAGTCCACATTGATGATAAAGAACATGAATCCTTTGGCTCCTTCTTTCTGCCCTCCAACAAGCGTGTTCACCCAGCCTAAAATGATATTGGTCACGATTTGCATGATTATTATTTTGATTTATTCATGAGGAGATTTTTTCATTTAATGATGAAAATTAAAATCTCTTCAAAAGCTCGATAGTACATTTTGAATATCGAAAGTTATTTTAAATTTGAAAAGTCTGCTGTGGTGAGTAATGACTTTATCTTAGGGTTGAATTAAAAAAAAAAAAAAGATAACTATCAACCTCACAATCCCTAAATGCTTTAAACATGTCTGTCACTATCTGACTAAGATCTTACCTTTAGATTTTAGCTCAGACAACAAACTTCCAGGTCCTTCATGGCCAATCAGATGTCCTAGATAATGTCCAGGGTTAGACTTGTAGTACTTCTGCAGGTCTGGGATGGGGAAAGTCACGTACAGGTTCCTGATGTCTTTGATAGGCACCACATTGTAGAATTGCTATGACAGAACACAAAGAATATTAAATCAAGTTGCTTTGGGAAATTACATTAACACATAAAAAAAAACTTAAAAAGCAAATCGATCATATATGATTAAATATGGGCTATGGTCTCACATAACTTTCCTGGTATACATTTGATTAATACTGCGGATAAGTTAAGCGACTCACTCTGAGGTGTTCTTCCTGGAAGGGATGCTCGGGGAATTCTGGCACAGGCACGTTCTTGTTTTCCACTTCTCCAAACAGCTTCACCACCATGGAGGTCAAATCATCTAATGATTCTGTAGGTAACAAAGTAAAAAAAACCTTTACATTTCTCATTTATCTTAGATTAAGTTATAATACAATAAGTAGATCATATGATGATTCGGTTGAAGTGTTTAACAGAAGATCTGACTTTGAACGCGCTCATCTTCTAAAATAAAAACCTACAAAACCTGTTTCATCATGATTAATCATTTCCAGGATGCTCACATTAGTTTCACTGCAATCATTTATTTTTAACAATAAAATTTGCATGAAAGCTCATGAGAAAATGTAATTGATGATATTGATTGATGCATCCTTGCATAGGTTTATGATAATCAAGCTATTGAAACCATATTTGTGAAACATGTATAACTTGCATCAGTAGTGGTTGTAGATGCCATAACAGGAAGAGAGTGTTGTAATTCTACCAGAAAGAGAGCAGAGGTTTTCAGAGTTTCCACAATGAAAAGGGATTACTACGGGTAAAGAACGTGAAAGGCCAGAGGGAGGAGACAAAGATGAGAAAATAAACATTTCATCCCACAATGTTCAGCAAAGCTAAACAGGAGGTAAAGATGCAGTATGATAAGCTGTGGCGCATAAAGCAAACCTTTAAGAAAAGACCAGGATCAGGTAGACGCTCTTTTGTCATAAAAAAATCGTCTCATTTGTTTTTGGTAATGATACCAAGGTTAAACATCCAAAATGGCTTCAAGAGTTATTAGCTATTATCTTGTATATTAAAATATAATATATATAATATATAATATGGTTCTTGCCCAACGCACCGAGTCATATGTGACATGTACTTTTTGTTTCTCTTTTCTGTCTTGAGTGCAGTTTAAGCCAAGTTAATTTTTTGCTAAATTTAAATGTTACTTATGAGCCATGAACTCTTACCTCTCCCTAACACACACAATCCCATGAGATTAGAGGAGTAATATGTAGAGTGAAACTGCAGGAGCTCCTGACGGATGTCGATCCCATCTTTAGATGGTCTGGTCTCAAGGGTCAACTTGTTACCTGTAGGAGAAAAAATGGATACATCAATGTGAGTATAGGTTTTGTTTTGATTTGATTTTTAAATTCCACTACTTCATGACAAAAAACAATTGAAATAATCTATCTTTGAAAATTTGCAGTTGCATTATTCTTCATTGTTTAACTAGAATATGAATACAACCATGCTATAAAAACACATAAGATTATTTTGATTGCTGCATTAACACATGACTGGTTCATGCAGAGAACCAGACAGGCTGAGGAATTCATTTAATGACTTTATAGTGTTAAAGTGAAAATTGTCTGTGAAGTTTGTGAACAAGCTGCTTGCCTGCAGAACCACTTAAGAAATCCAAGTGCCAGACATTGAAACTTTTTAAGACACTGAATACAAATCAATCTGGAGGCCTGTCTAATCCTCCTCTAGTTTTAACTGGAATAAAGAAGATATAATTCAAGACTGCCATCAGGTGGCTATTTTGAGCATGGAGCTACTCCGCGCCGATGCTGCTCTAATCTGGCAATTCAGTTGAATACAGAGTAAGCTCCCTTCATGATATGAGAAGCTTCCCTGCAACAGTTCAATGTCAACTGAAAATGTCACAGATCAATGTATTTATTGCCCATATAGCTTTACAAAAGCATGTCCTTGTTTTTTGCATAATCAAATTAAGTATTTTTGGCCCCATATGTTTAATATTATCATCTGTGTTTCCCATAAATTATCTAGACTCTGGCATTCCGCCATTTTTTAATTTGTCCCACCATAGTTTTTTTTTTTTTTAACACTTCTCATAATAAGACAAGAGATCTCTAGCTTTGTCCACATAGACCACAAACAGTAGTTACAGCTGTAGCTGTGGGATGCATTGCAGTTCTTTCTGTCACACAAGAACTATTCTTTGACTGTTTAGCCTGTGTACCTGTCACTTATCTGTTGCATGTGAGAGAGCATATGCATGTGCACCCCCATTACCCTGTAGATTAATTAATTTGGTGGGAAATGCTGATTGATGGAGGTGTTATAGGACTTCCATGTATATAATCAAACATTACACAGCTTCTGTATTTTATTTGTGTTTAAATACTTATTATTCTCCAATTGTGTTTGTTTGGTGTGTTGATTCAGAGACTCACAGGCAGACATGATGACTACTACTATTACGTAATATTGATCAAATGTAATGGGCAATGGTTGTAACTCTGGGAGAGTTCATACCTGTTCCAAATTTACTGAAGGGGTGGTTAGGGTTGCCAGTGGCCTTCTCCAGCTGAAACAGCCTCCAGGCATCATTCATCAGGTTCTTCTCATGCTCTGAGTCCACAGCATTCACCTCCCTGTCCTTACAGCTCTCATCAAACAGTGGACACAGGAAGAACTGGGCAAACCTACGGAGATTAAGAAATGACAACTAATTCAACACAACACATTACAGAATGTAGAATCACCATTTAGATTTACAATTAAATAGCCAGGGCTTCTAAGACACAAAAGGATGTAAAGTCTGTGATGGGGAACACAATTTGCATGAAGATTAAGTGTGAGCAACTGCCATGTAAATGATAAGTGATAAGAACACAGACAATTTGAATGTTTTTAAAGCCACAACACAGATCAGAAATCTGTTACGAGTCCTCACAAAACATTCAAATCATGAAAGTTGTTCTGATATGAACTGTACTTTAGAGGTGTTTGCGTTTAGTATTGACATCAATATTTGGGTTAGGGTTGCATCCTCAAAAACTCTTGCAATAGTAGGTATGGATGAATTAATTCAACCGGTAGATGACACAAATTATTCTTTCAGACATTTTGCTCTTCTATTTTCAAAGTCGGACTATCATCAATATTTCAGCACACTCTGTGCTGTTCTTTCCCACCACACCAGCATCCAGATGGCCTTCACAATTCACTGGCACAGAGGAACAATTAGTCTGTGCTACAGACAGGTGCTTGCTAGACTATCATTCATTTATAAGTAGGTAAGCTTATCCCTATAGTTTCAATTCTGACACCGCCTGACTGTCCTCTCACCGCAGCTGACACGTGAGCAGAGCCCCCCAGCAAGCCGGAGGACATCAGTCTCACCCTGTGCCTGGTTTGAGGGGGGTAGGAACTAGTGCTGATGGTTACAAAATAGAGCATAATGAAACTGGGTCTGGTAACCAAAGACGGACAGACAATGATCTGGCAGCACTCTTGAATTAACACCTGGGCTCCCATGGGAAGAATCGTATACTGATACAACCACTTAGACCAGTGGTGTGGGACATCCTGCATCTGAGCCACAGGTGCTCTCTGAGATCCTGCCCATAGGGATATTCATGAATTTAAAAAAAGGAACCACATGTAAATAAATCTTACGATTTTTTCTTCAATAAAAAGGAAATAAACACCTTCTGGCTATATGACTGTCAAGTCTCAGTCAGGGTAAACACAACACACGTGTAGCACAGGGAAAACTTTTCTGGCAGAAAGGCAAGCAAACCAAATGGTTTTGTTGCCTAACCCAAACTATCTTTTTAGGAAATCCATTCAGTGGTTTTTGTGTAATCTTTCTTACAAACATACAAACCAAGAGCAAACACACAGGGCTGAAAACATAACCGGCAGAGGTAAAAATATGTTTTCAAGTGGACAGAATTGATAAAACCAGACAAAGTTAAACTTGTCAAAAGTACAAGATATTGGGAAAAAAAAAAAAAAAAAAAGGTCTGACGGAATCCACAAAAGATTTATAGTTTCTCTCTCTGGTCTGATCACCACTATTATCTGACATCTCGTAAAAGGGCAGTTCCAGGCATCTCATCAGAGAGGTTAGTGTGATATATGTTCAATTATTTAGTATTGCCCTCTGAGGATGTTATTAAAATTGAAATGGCCCTTGACAAGTTCCCCAACCCTCTCTTGAACAAACTGAAGTCATGTATTTTAATTGAACACAGGTCTCCTCTATGCAAGTGTAGCGAGACTGATTAGCTGTCTAGCAGTTACTTTCAGGTTTGCTACTTGAGGCTCACATTTTGAGGAAGGACAACAAAAAAAATCAATCCCATCAAAATAACAGGAACATACCTATCTAGTGCGCCTTGCAAGTGCTCATGGGACACATCAAAGTAATAGTTGGTATGCTCTCCACTTGTAAAGGCATTGGAGCTGCCTGCATGCTCGCTCAGGAACTGGCTGTACTCATTCTCTTTGGGATACTTCTTTGTTCCCAGGAACAGCATGTGCTCACAGAAGTGCGCCAGGCCCGAGATATTCCCTGGGTCCGATAATGAACCTGTGAATTTAAAAGAAAAGGTCACAAAAAAATGAAGTCAATCAAGCTCCATCTTTTTGCTCATTAATGTAAACAGATACAACATGTCAGAGATTGACACATTGGTCAGCCAGAGTGGGGAAGAAAGCAAAGTACAACAACAGTTACATTTCTACACACAGAAATTTCATTTCAGTTTATTTCTTTATCTTTATTCAACAACAAACCATATCTTAATCATGAGACTTAATTCATTGAGTGTATGCAAGTTTCTACTCTAAAGATGTACTGGTCAAAATACCTGGCATACTCTGGCCTCATTTTCAGAACCTCTTCAACTATGAAACTTCTGTCCACAAACACATTTTTAGCTTTAAGTGTTAAGAATTTAATCATCACTCCCTCCTTTCACAGGAAAAGCAACCTAGTGTGGCTTAATCTGAGGAGAGTCACAAGTTAAATCACATCAACAAAGCTTTTGCTAGTAAGCTGTTTCAACTCTAACTGAGAGACCAGGTAGGTTGAGAGTAATGTTATGTTAACATGGTAATTCACAGCAACAGGAATAATAGGTAGCAGAAGTCAAAGCACAGTACAATAATATTAGAGGAATTGGTGTTACTCTGTCAAGTGATTATGGTAATCTGTAAAGTACAGTTCTTTAAAGCAATTTTTATTATAAAGTGGATGATCACAATAGCCAAAAGGGAAAAAAGTCAAATTGTATTCCATTTCTGTCCCCTAAAATTGTGTAATACAGGTCAAAAGCCACTAACTTGCAAGACAAGAGTGATGAAAGACCCTCACCTATGTGGACATCCAAAGCAGCTGAGGATTTATCTGTGGTTGGGTCACTGATGAGCATAGCTTTCAGGCCATTAGTAAAGTCCAGGGCCCTGTAAACCCGTTTGTCCTCTGGAGAGCGAATTATGTCTCTAACCACCCTCTGCACAGCCGGGTCGGTCATTCTGAGTGGCAAGGATGACACCAGCCTGCAGTGGAGGAAACAGTCAAAACATTAATGCAGTTAGCCATGTTCCTGTTTTTTGTCCTTACTGTGATTAAACCTAACATGATGGCCAAAGGACATTTTAGCGCTGAGGGAAACTGCAGATGCAGCAAGCTTTGTATACAAAAATCACAAGTGACATCTAAGACCTTTCTGAAACCTTCAAGAAAAATACTGTATCTTGTTTAAACACTGATGTCACAACATTTAACTAGTTTTGTCAGCGTACAGCCTGTTTTCTAAATGTTAAATATGTTATTTAAAACACATCTAATTGTATAATAGTTTAAAGTATATTCTGGCTCAAGCCATTAAGCCACAGCTGCACAGGTCAGCCACAACATTAAAACCAGTTACCAGTTTTGATGTTGTGGCTGATCAGTGTCCAGTCAGTCAGCTGTTTATTAGGATCACACAGCAAAAACGAATGCGGTCACACAGCACTGCTACTAAAAATCTAAAGAATGTCAAGATTTCTCCACCCAATTAACACGTGAGTGCAAAAGTGTTTTTATCCCCTTACATTAAAATGACAAGTGGAGTAAAAGAAATACCTTTATTGTCATCAACACAATATTTAATGCGTTTTAATTTAGTACAAATTGTGCTTCATTATCAACAGTCTTGAACAATATTACATCAGTCCTGAAGTTTGCACCCTTCTTTATGAAATGTATGATACTTAAGATGTCCTCTCTCCCTTTATAACCTCCTTCAGACATCTGAGCACCCTTTGTATATCCTCAGGTACAGTTTCAATCCACTCTTCATTGTATAGTTGCTCTAAATCAACCAGATTGCTTGGCTGTCTGCCGTGAACACAGGTTTTCTATTATATCCAAGTCTGGAGACAGGGAAGGGCATAGAAAAACATTCCTCATTCTTTTTTTAAACTGTTCCTGAGTTGACTTTGCTTTGTGCCCTTGACCATTTTCTTGTTGACTGATGCACTGCCATTTTCTTACTGACGACAGGAGGCTTTGCTTTAAAAATCTTTTGATACTGGCCTGCATTCATTCTAACTTATACTTTATATACAGCTCAAGTGCCTAATGAAGACAAACACCCCCCCAAGCCTGAGTGAGCCTCCACTGTGTTTGTCTGAAATGATATCCCTCTCCTCTTTTATTTCTCTCTCCACATGTACCTGTGCAGATTACTTTGGTCTCATCATACCACATAAACTTGATTCACATTATTGCTGAATGTGTCAAAACATTTTATATCCCTCCACAGCTTTGTGAAAAATTATCAATTTCAAATTGATGTTTTCTGACAGTCCGCCCCTGATCCCATTGTTTATGTGGCTCTCAGTAGACTGCGTGAAACCCACCTGGAGCCACTCATCAAGCTTTATGTGCTGACGATACTTTTTAAAGATCAGACACCTGAT